TTTTTTAAAACTAAAATTTAAATTTTTTAATTTAATAAAATTAAATAAATAAAAATCTAATAATTTAATTTACCCGGATTTTATTACTTTTTTAAAAAAATAAGCAAACACATATATATTTATATATAAAATACCAAAGTATGAGTTAGGCTGAGAATAATATAATAATTCTTAACAATATTGGATGTTAAAAAAAGATGAATACATACATGAATTATTAAAACTTTTAACTACAGGAATACAATAAACTCGAGATTTATAACAACCACAAAAATAGTAAATAGAAGATAAAATAAATTAATTAAAAAAATTATTAAATGACTAAAAAACTGAGGAAGAAAAATTAGACTATGTAAAATAAACAGTTAAAAAATTAGGTTTATGGTTAATTGAAGGAAAAAGCGGCTAAGAATACGATTTTTTAAAATTAAGTGAAAATTTAAAAAGTTATATATAAAAATTATTATAAAATGAGATAAAACATTGTATTATTTAGAAGATTTGAAATTTTATCGAGATTTTGTAGAGAGTTGTGAAAATAAGAATTATTGTTTAAAATAAATAAATAAAGAATTACAAAATTTAATCCAATAAGATTTATCTAATACATGTTTTCATGAAGTTTTGGAAATAAAAGAAATTTAGTTTTTAAGAATAGAAAAAAAAAAACTAATTAAAAAACATAGAAAATATTCTTTTTTTAAAAATAGGGTCATATATATCAAATTCATTATAAAACGAATTCTTTAATTTTTTACATATTATATAGATGGTTTTTAAATGCTTTAATATATTAAAAATTAAACAAAGTTACTTAAGTCAATAGGAAATTAAGGAATAAAAAATAATAGGAATAAATATTTTCTAAAACTTACAGCCTTTACCTAAAAATACACCTATTATATCATTTTAAAAAATTATTAATTGTAAAAATGAGTTGAATGAGTTAATTTAAGAAAATTATAATAATAATATCAATATAAATAATAATAATGAAGGTAAAAAAATAATAATAGCAATGATAGCAAAAAAAATAATAATAAATATAACATAGATAGTAATAATAAAAACAATATTAAAATTTTACTAAAAATGTATTATTTTTCCATAAAATTATCTATTTTTAGGTTTTTTTTACTTTTTTTAAAATATAAACTTCTCCTTTTTAAATTTAAATTTGGTTAAAATCGTTATTTTATAAAATAAAGAATTAGACATTTTTATCATTATTTTAATAACTTAATTATCTATAAAAAGTTGATAAATCTTCACTTTTTTCCGAAGAAAAAGGAATATAAGTAAATACTAATGTCTCGTTTTTATTCAAATTTTGAATTCTTTTTTCTAATTCTTCTTTTTATTTTAATATTTTTGGGGGATTTAAAAATCTAAAAATTCCAAAAAGGCTATTTTCTGTTTTTATTTAAAAATATTCTTTATCACCTTCACAATTTATTATATAGACTTAAAAATTTTCTTTTTCGGGAAAATTTTATTTTATTTTAAATACTTTTGTGCCTTTTAATTAAGCATATTTTACAATTATTTTTTATAAGCTTTCTTTTACATTTTAAGGTAATACAAGAATATTATTTAAATTTTTGTTTCCTAATTATTATTCCTAAAATTCTTCAAACTTTAATACTCTTATATTTCATATTCTTTATCTTCAAATCGAGTCTGTTTATGGAATATATTCTTTTTTATTGTAGTTTATTAATAAAGCAAA